ATTAGTGGTTCCTGTTCAGTCCCCTAACCTAACCCGCTGGCTTTGTCCACCAGTTTAGGCCAAAGTAACACGAGGTACGCAAAGTTAAATTAAACATAACCGGTTAAAGGTAAAGGATGGGATATAAGTAATGGGAAAGGAAATAGAAAGGGAAAAAGGAAAAGGATAGAAGGGTTAATAAATTCATTAATTAGGCAAAATAAATACACACAGACAAATTCATAGGGGTATATGGTTTATTCAAAAGGGTTAAAAAACAAGTTAAATACAACAATTAATATAAACATCAATAATTAACAAGCTAAAAGATAAATACATTACATAATACGTTAAAAACAAAAAGCTAAAATACAAATTGGTTAAAAAAGCAAGCTAAAAAAATAAGTTAAAAAGAAGCTAAAAACAAATTTAAAAACAAATCAGTTCATTGGTTAAAAAATAAGCCAAAAACAAGTTAAAAACAAGTTAAAAAAGACAAATTAGTTCATTGGGAAACTAAATGCAGCACAGTATAAAAGGCGGAGCTAAAAACCATCAGACATTATAAATACATGGTAGAGTACAGAGAGGTAGACAGAAGAGGAGAAGGGAAGATTGGAACAGGTTGGAAGGGAGAAAGGGAAAGGAGAGCAAAGCAAAAGGGAAAATGTAAAGCCAAACAGGCTCATTATTTTATGGTCTGTGCGCCTGAGTAAGTTCCAGTGATACCGAAACGTTGCGCAGGCCGACCACTATTAATGGCCAGTGAGCCACAATTTTTTGAACCCCCACCACCTTAGGGTGGTGGTTGTTGGAGGGGGTCGGCATGGTCAGAACGTTCTGGGAGTGATGGACAGTGCACCATCCTCTCTCCATTGCTGGAGAGGGGATTTCTATCCCCAATTCCTAAAGTACTACAGTTAAAAATGGCTGCAACTCCCCCTCCCCAGCCACTGCCTCGAGTTCCTCAAACCTCTGAGAACCTGAGGTAAGTCACACAGGAAGGACTTATCACACACATTTTTCTTTGTAATCATTTCACCTTTATTGTTACAAGACACTCAAGAAATACACTTTAAAATATGATGAGTTTTTCAAAACACATTAAAGCATAGTAAGGCCCACACCAACATCCTGGTCCTGGAAACAAACACAAAGACAAGCCATACACTGTCAAGTTCATGTTACCTTTGTAAAATAAAATGATTACATCATGGTTGTGTGATGAAACCCAAACACATCAGCTGTTAAGGCCACAGCTCACCAAAACCAAGTGATCCTTTTACGTTTTTATATCATGCACTTAAATAATGAACCACTTCTGTTTCTACCACATCCAACATCTCATCAGACTCAGGACTTAGGAGGTAAAGGTAAAAAGCTTAGATTACAGGTCAGGAGTTAGGGTTAGGGGGTAAGGAGATTATGGGGTTAGGGACAGTTAAAAACAAAGACGTCAAACACAGTCTGAATCTCAAAAATTACAACTCAACAAAAATAAGTATGAAGCGATTAAAAATGCTGTTTTTAAAATTGACAACATTGCTCTCAAATAAGTCACCGAATGATTTACACTGTTTCTCGTCTGAACATCATCCTAAAATCAAACACATTCAGTTTTCACAGATCACTCAAATGTATTTATAAAAGATGATGACAACATCAGGACCAATGGACAACAAGTAAATACTGAAGTCCTCTAAATTTCTCACACACACACTCACTGACCTGAAAGTGACACTCGTCCCACCCACACATTTAAATACAGTGTCTCCAGAGACACCAGGACCACCAGGGATCCCACAGACACCAGGGACAACAGACACACCAGGGACACCATGAACACCAGGAATCCCAGGAACACCAGGTACATCAGGACCACTAGGCACACCACGGATCCCAGGGACACTACTGACACCAGACACACCAGGGATCCCAGGAACACCAGGGATCCCAGAGACACTAGCAACACCAGACACACCAGGGACACCAAGTATCCCAGGGACACCAGAAACACTAGGGACCCACTCAGCAGGACGATTCTTAAACATGGACCTACAGACACCCATTATTTTCATTTCTTACATGTTTACATCCATTAATTACTCAAACACAATCCGCCCAGTCTGACGCATCAGTCCTGTGTCCTCAACACTGACCTACAGGTAGACACATTGACCTGCATGACGACACTGTTGGTGATGGAGGCTCCTGAGCTGAAGATTAAGAGGTTCAGAGGATTCTTGGCACTGAAGATTTCTGCTTCATCATGAACAAACTAACAGAGTTGAGAGTTGTGTGAGTTCATGTGACTTTGACACATATTTAGTGACTAACTGTGAGGACACCAATCCAGATCTTCAACAAATGAATCAACACACAGCAGAGTCCATGAAATGTCGTCTACACGTGGATGTTGCAGTTTCCACTCAATGATTGGACACGACTTCAGTATTCACTCTGAGCTGAGGAGGACCAGGTGTGTGATAGCAGGACAGAATCTCCCAGAATACTTTCAGCATGATGTGATTCCAGATGTCAAGGTCATCTGACGCAACCTGTGACAACTGATTTAAAAACTCTGAGAATTGCTGGAAAAGAGAGGTTGTAATAAATATTTTATATCACTGTATAATACACAACAGTAAGAAAACACTACTATCATTATTATCATTACCATTATCATTATTATTATTATTATTATTATTGTTATTATTATTACTTCAGAGTAGCAATGGTGGCTCTGACTTCATAAAACCAGAAAATGTCACCCACAGGAAAAAAGAAATCTCATCATAAAAAACATGAAGCATTCTTTAGTGTCAACATCAATTCATCAAAACATTTCAGTGTCTCTTATTGTCAAAGACCACGTTTGTTTTCTTTGTCATTGTTTCAGTGTTTTCTTCACATTTCAAGTGCATTCATGTCAAATACTTTGGTCGTTACCCAAAAAACAACAGGTCACCAAAATGTAACGTTATATCAACGTAATGTACAAACGAACACGTCTAATTTAACAGTCCAACAATCTGAAAATGCTCCAGTACATAGAAAGGTCCGCGACATCTTTAGCCTAGCTCAGCACAAACACTGGGAGCACGGAAAACTGCCAGCTTAGCTTAGCACAAACACTGGGAGCAAGGGGGAAACTGTTAGCTTAGCTTAAAGACTGGGACCAGGGGTAAGGGGTTAGCTTAGCTTAGCACAAACACTGAAAGCAGAAATAAAAACACCAACAAAACTTTAACCTTTACTTTTTCTAATTTCCATGTTTATATGTCGTATGCAGTTTCTTACACGTGTGCACAAATAGAAATGTAAAAATAACACATGAGCAGCAGTTACCGTTGATCAACAACACTTGGTGCAGTGACTGAACTAAGCATCCCAAAAGTCCTGAACTGGGAGTAAGACTGTTTAAACACACCCATCAGTCTTAGACCTGGTTTTCTTGGAAAGGGGATTTTCTTTTGATGGAGCTAAACTAACAGCTTCCTCTTGATTCTGGTCTTTGTGCTAAGCTAGGCCAGCATACATCTCTCTGTCCTGGAGGCACAAAGATGAACCTGAAAACTCCCTTCTCCTCTAATTCTGCACATCAGAGAACATAAGCATTTATGACAGAAAACTTTTATCACTCTGTTTATCTGTTAGTATTCGACCTGCTGTAAAAAAAAAACACAAAAAACAGTGTCATTTAGAAAAGACTTGGTGGACGTTGTTCCAGGTGTACAATGCTCTGTCTCGACACTTGACAGTGTGTTACTGTATAATAATTGTATGATGTGGTAGAGTGTTATGTTGTAAAGGACTCATACTGACTCATTTGTTTATTGTATGACATGGTAGTGTGTCACGTTGTAAAGGAATCGTGCTGAGTCATTGGTGTTTATTTGTTGTATGATGTGGTAGACTGTGAAGTTAACAAGGATTCATATTGACTCAGTATGTGTTTATTGTATGATGTGGTACAGTGTGACATTGTGAAGGACTCATACTGACTCGTTGGTGTGTGTTTATTGTATGATGTGGTAGAGTGTCACGTTGTAAAGGACTTGATGGCCGTTGTTCCAGGCGTACAGCGCTCTGTCTCGGGGGTTGTAGTCGAGCATGGACAGGTGACTGTATTTATTGGTCAGAGGAATGTCGATGTACTCGTAGGTGGAGGAGTTGGTGGAATAGGCGTAGTAAACTTTGGTTCCACCTGAGTACCCATTAGTCACGTACAGTGTCCCACAGATCATGAAGGCCTCACCAGCACTACGTTTGGGGTGGTTGGTGGTCCAGCTGCGGATGATCTGCAGAGTGTTTGGGTTTAACTGGCTGAGGACGATGTTTCCAGCATTCTGATTGGTGGCATAGACGGCCCAAAGCCCCCCCTCGTCCACCATGAGGTCGATGTCTGAGTGCCCCCCCCAGGAGTAATGATACATGTTGTTATACCCTGCAAAGTCCAGCTGTCGGGAGCGGCTGATGAGCGACGTGCTGAAATCAAACTTGATGATGGTGTGACTCTGGAACTTGTTGAAGTAAATGGATCCATTATAAACCACCTGACCGGTCCCAGACCAAGGATGAGGCAGGCGGTGAGACGTGAAGTTATCTGTCGTCATGAAGTCATACATTGACTGATACTCTCTGACAAAGCGGTTGTTATGGTAACCATCCATGTACCACACCTGTAAAGAAAAAAAAAAGATCTAAACATATGTAGTGATTGTTTCATTTGTTGTGTCAGCGTGATAGCATGACAGATGACCATATTCCATAAACACGTAACGTACTGATTATGATGTCATCATATTAAACATAGTTTGACTGTAGACTCAAATGAAATAAAAACTGACAGTTGAAACCTGACAGACCATCATTCTCTAATGACCCTGGAACACCAAACATCCACTGGACTGCACTGTACATATATGTACACATATATCTGGATATGTAGACACATATATCTGTACATTTAAACCCATACATCTGTACACACATATACACATATATCTGGACATATAAGCACACATATATATGTACAATTATACACATTCTGCACATAAATACACATAACTGTACACATATATTTGAACATATTGACACATATCTATAGACACATCTGTACATATATGCACATATATCTGTCTATGTAAACACATATATCTGTGCATATAAACACATATGTCCTCATATACACATATCTATCTATATATATATATATATATACATATATTTGTACATATATCTGTACATATGAACACATACCTGTACACACATCCGTACATATATACTAATATATATCTGTCCATGTGTACACATATATCTGCACATAAATACACATGACTGTACACATATGTCTATACTCATCTATTTGTACATATGAACACATATCTGTATATAAACACATATCTGTACATATA